AAAAAAAACTGTTGTAGTCAAAGTCTGAGACCACACTGAAAATCTGGAATTCACATCTACACCCATGTCAGATGTGTTACAACAATGCTTAACATGTAGCACAGTCCTAACACGACATGAATCACATAGACGAATAAATTGTGCAAAGGCTTAAAGAAATAGTTTACCCAAAAATATAATTTTGCTTAAGACCAAGAACCTTAAGAATTCACCCTCAGACCATCCAAGAATTATATATTTTTTGTATCTATTACAGCAAAAAGCTGCATGTTTGGTAGGAAACATATCCATGAAGATGTTAAACCATTGCTTCTGGACAAAAATATCAGTCTATAATCCACAATATTGCTTTCTTCAGGGAAAAGGTCATCTTGTTTGAATGAGGAGAGCAATGTGCAATGGATCAGGCACTGTTTAAAAGTGAAAAAGAGTCAAACACAGCTCTAAACAAATATGTTGGTGGATTTTGATGTGATAGGACAACAGGGGATGGACCTTTTCACTGGAGGAAGCTTTGTTATAGCTTATGGACTGGTATTTTAGCCAGAAGTGATGATTTAAAATGAAAACATGCAGCATTTCACTTTATAAGCCATTAATTGATGGACTGGAGTCATGTGAATTACTATGTTTTAAACAGCTGTTTGGACTCTCATTCTGAGGATCCATTGATGAGCAAGTGATGTAATGCTACAATTTCTCCAAATCTGTATTAATGAAGAAACAAACTCCTCTACATCTTGGGTGGAGTCAATTTAAAAAATAAAAAAAGTTTGAGTTAACTATTCCTTTCAAATCCAAAAGACATACATAGCATTAAGGGGTTAGTTCACCCAAAAATGAAAATTAGCCCATAAATTACTCACCCTTATATGACATTCTTCTTTCAGACGAATCCAGTCGGAGTTATATTAAAAATAGCATGTACAACTGTTGCCGCAAGCTACATTAAAGTGGTTATTACGTTTTGAATATGGATATTTTCTTACAAAAATGCATCGATTCGCTACAGAAGGCCTTTGTTCACCCCCCGGAGCCGTGTGAGACACTTTTTTTATTTTTATGGATGGGCGCATTTTAATTAAGTTCTTTTGGACTGATGCATGCAACACCCGCTGAGTGCCATTAAACAGCTTGAAAGATCAAAGACAATTTTTAATATAACTCCGACTGGATTCGTCTGAAAGAAGAAAGTCATATAAGAGTAATTTATGGGATAATTTTCATTTTTGGGTGAACTAACCCTTTAAGAGAACTGGCTGAATTTCGCACCAACATATATCTTATCTTAAAGGGATAGTTCACCAAAAAATGAAAATTTGATGTTTATCTGCTTACCCCCAGGGCATCCAAGATGTAGGTGACTTTGTTTCTTCAGTACAACACAAACAAAGGTTTTTAACTCAAACCGTTGCAGTCTGTCAGTCATATAAATGGAAGTGAATGGGATTCACGGCTTTGAGAGTAAAAAAAAAAAAAAACACACACCAAATTAAACCCTGTGGCTCGTGACGATACATTGATGTGTAAAGACAAGAAACGATCGGTCTGTGCAAGAAACTGAACAGTATTTATATCGTTTTTTACCCCTGATTCACCGCAATATCCAAACTGTCCGGAGCGCATTCTCAACAGCTGGCGTGTGACGCGTCGTCTTCTTGCTTTACGGCGGATCGCAGACTTATAAGTGCATTACCGCCACCTATCTCTCAAATGGACCATTGACACTCTATCTACAATCTCAATTAGGAGTGTCAATGGTCCATTTGAGAGATAGGTGGCGGTTTTTTTTGACCCTCAAAGCCGTGATTCCCATTCACTTCCATTATATGACTGACAGACTGCAACAGTTCGAGTTAAAAATCTTTGTTTGTGTTCAACTGAAGGAACAAAGTCACCTACATCTTGGATGCCCTGGGGGTAATTTCATTTTTGGGTGAACTATCCCTTTAAAGCAGCTGTATGTAGTTTTTTTGTATTTTTGCAACATTGAAGCCCCCTAGAGTTAAGTGAGTGGAATTCATTGTCATAATTACAGAGGTCAGTTTGTTGCTGACATAAGCAATCCCTTTTTGCAGAATTTCATACCCTTCACCATACATACTCCCAGAACAGACATCTGGGGAGGAGTGTGGGAGAAGAAACAAGTCATTCTCCTTATTAGAGGTGTGTACCATCAGAATGATTTTGAAACTGATATTTCAAGGCCAAAAAACAAAAACAGCACAGTATTGTCTCAAATCAGTAATGCACATTGATTATTAGACACCTAAATGGGATCAGTATTTATTATAAAATATTTATTTATCATTATCAATCTGTACACAACCAGAAGTTTCAACTTGTGCACATGCATAAATAATTAACTGAAACCGTGTCTTTCTGAGATGCCTTTATTGTGCATTTTGGAAATCCAGTGACACTGACACAGTACAGAATCCTACACCCTATTCTCCCCCATTTCTCCCAAGTCTATAAGGAGGAAGTACCTTAATCCTCTTTGCAATCATAATTTAAACAGAGAGATCAAGAGAAAAATGGAAAGAGAAATAACTGGCTGCGTTTTCCACAAACAACATGCATTGGGGGGGGTGGATGAAGGGGTGACGTTCACACGGCTAAAAACAATAAGAGGACATTGAAGCATGATCCGCTCTTACTGGTCCATTGTGAGTCAGTCTGTCAGATATCTGTTCATCTTATGTCACGTCTTTGAGAAAAATCATAAGAAAAAATATGGAAAGAAACGAATGCTCAATACTTAAACTGTCTTGCTATACATAAAAGGAGATCGTCTGCTTAAATATGCAAATGCAAGGGCTTTCTTCTGCATTTTATAGTGTCATTTTCTCATTTAATCATTTTCGTATACATGTCCTCTCTCTAGAAAGTTGTTCTAGGGTAAAACTAGGCCCTTCAGGACGCCCTAGGCCCTAGGGCGTCTGTCGGATCTCATGTAAAATGACGTATCTGCAGCAGAAGTGATTGGTCCTGAAGAATGTTTAATCTTCCTCGCTGCCACTAGCCGAATGCTCCTATACAAAAACATAAAAAAAAAGAATTAGCATAAGTGAGCAACAACATGAGTGTAAATAACACTACCCTGCATCATATTTGCTGAATGAAATCCAATACTAATTTTGAGGTGCTGATTCCAAAAATAGTGCCTGTTTTTCTCTAGCATGTCAGTTCTCACAAAATGTGTGCAATTTCATAGCATCTTGCTTCCAATTTCCAATTGTAAGGTGATGTTGTCTTGTATTACCCCTTAATGATAAAAAAAAACTGCCACAAAGACATGATTCATATCTTACTCTGAGCCAGGTTACAACTACTTGTTCAATTCTCAAACTATTTTCACATGTATGAATGATGAAGACGTTATTTTATGCCTAATCCTGATTTCCACTTTTTCACGTCATTGCAGATTGTAAGTTCAATGATACACTTCAACATTACACCTAAAACTTGAAAAAAAAATTACAAATTAGGTAACACTTTATTTTAAGATGTCTTTGTTACCCAGGTTACATGTACTTACTATTATAATAATTAATTATGCATAATTACATGCAAGTAACTCTAAACCAAACTCTAATTCTAACCCTAATCATATAGTAAGTACATGTAGTTAATTAATATTACTCAGTACTTAAATGTATAATTACATTGTAACGAGGACACTTTAAAATAAAGTGTCACCAAAAATTATGTAATATTAGGCTTTTTTTTTTGCAAATTAGCACATATGATTTAGGGCTGTGTTATTAACCATTTTCTTTTTTGGTGTACTTTTCCTTTAAGTTCCATATTAATCATTCATGAGTACCTCTTCCTGGTCCTCCTCACTTTCGTCATCACTAACGACGGGTTTAGGGCGCCAACTGCGTCCGGTTCGGCGTCTTCCCTTCCCTCTCTCCACCTTTTCCTTTCGGCTCAGCTTTATCTTCACCTTCACCGAACGAGCTAAAAACACACGTGTTAATCATAACTAAACTATTTGAGTTGTACATGCAAAATACTCTGCTCAGATAATAGTTGCACTGTACAAAATATTTTCATTACAGTGTCAGCATACTCATTTAATACTCACATTCAGACTCCGACCCTTCATCTACCTCGTCCTCTTCCTCCTCACTCTCTTCTCCCTCACTCTCTTCCTCTTTCTCGATCTTCTGCCGCACGCTGGTGAACACAGACTGCAGCACGATAGAGTCCTCGTAGATCTGAAATATTACATCATGCTCTCATTTGAATCAGCCAAATGAAGTACAACTCTAACATCCTACCAGTGTTATTACCATTAAATAAAGCTATTTGTTACTTAAGCATTTTATTATTGTTATACACACACACACACACACACACACACACACACAGGGCCTAAAATTAACACTCGCCAAGTGCCAAATGAGAGATCAGCGTTGGCGAGTATATGTAAGTGTCAGTCACCAGTTGGCGGGTGCAACTTTTACGAATTATAAGTATAACAATGCAATGAAGTGAAAACAACAGCCAGTTTTTAAAGTGATTTGCTTTTTCTGACATAAGCCAAAGAGTATGATGAAGTGTGATGGCCAGCTTGTCCCTAGACACGGTTCTAATAACTTTTACCTGAGAAGATTTTTCTGCTTCATTTCGGAAGATTAACTTTTCCCTTCTTTATTCTTCATAACCCGAGAATGCGGCGACACATACCTGGGGTTACTTCGCCTAAACGGTGCAGTGAAGTATAGTTTGAAAGGCTGCGCGTTCGGCTGTAAGTTACACAGATGCTGAGCCGCTGAAGTTCAGACAGCTCACCAGGAGCGCTTCAACGCACGAAAACACACACAAATATGTCAAAATGTGCGGTTTTGGTGAGTTACCTTGTAAACGTAGTCTTAAATGACCATAAAGAGTTGGGAGAAAATCGGATATATGTCAGATTTGAGTCATATGCATCAGGTTTTAAAGAGACAGCGCTGATTTTAAAGTGAAACCTGCTGAAGTCTGTCACTGATGTCAATCAAAGAACAAAAGAAAAAGAGAAATCCTTGGACTGTTCTAGTCGCCGATTAACTTTTATAGCTTGAATAAAGCTTAATATGTATAGTTTATGTATATATAATATAGTTTGTGAAGATTGTTTTAAAATCACTTAAATTAAAAGTTGTTATATATTTCAGAGCCTATTAAACGTTAAAAATAATGGCTTTCAATTATACTGTAATGTTGAATGGCTATAATTAATAGGTAAAATTGGGGAAAATGCACCAGCAGGACAAAAACATTGTAAATATGTTTAGTGATTGTAGTAGTAATAACTGCCTGTTTTTGCAAAAAGAGTTTCATGGCTGGCAAAAAAAATTTTTGGCCGGTAAATTTGATCATGTCACCGGCCATTGGCAGGTGTTGCAAAAAGTTAGTTTTAGGCCCTGTATATATATATATATATATATATATATATATATATATATATATTACTCTAGTCTTCAATGTCACAATTAACCATTACTATTATTATTATTATTATTATTTGAATTGCAATAATGTTTTATAATATTATTGTTTAACTGTATTTTTGATCAAATTTGTAGCCACATAGGCTATGTTGCTAAAAACAGCCTATTATAGGATTTTAAGCTAAATTTAAACAGTAAAAACGTCTCGGTTATGTATGTAACCCTCGTTCCCTGAAGGAGGGAACGGAGACGTCACGTCGGAGGACCGACGAAATTGGGATCTCGCTTAGAGGATGGCTGCAATATAACAAAGAGTGAAAACTTTAAGGGGGTCTGAATACTTTCCGTACCCACTGTATATATATATATATATATATATATATATATGAATGTATGCAAGTAAATATATATATAAAATATTAAATATATAAAAAGCTTAAATTTACTTAAATTTTATTTATTTGTTAAGACAACAGTTTTATTCATTTATTTGAAGTACTAAAATAACTTAAATGAAATAAAAACAATATAGATGACAAAAACTAATAAGATCAAATATTAATAAAACAAATATTACCAGTGATCCCTCCAGGTTGAAGGTCTGAGCGTTCTGACAGAGAAGCATGACGTCTTTCTCCAGGTCATTCAGAGTGCGGTACTTATGACTCTTAATGCGTTCCTGCACAAAACAGAGAGCAAGATTCAACACTTAAATCATTATTTACTAATATATTATGAATTACCAGGTATTCATAATATAAATAACTTTAAGGATATTTAGAGTTAAATGATAAAAACCTACATTGTAATCAGAGTAAAATTGTTCATAAAAAGGGCTCACTATTATTATTATTAACAACAGCCCCAATTTACACCTTAAAATATAATAATAGTTCCAAGTTACACCTTAAATATTATTATTATTACGATTAGTGTGCATATTTAATGTATTTCAATGGGTGTTGGTGCACCAGCCAAAGCATTTGCACATTAATCGCTTAAAAGAAAAAAAATTGGCAAACCTTGATCTTCCTGAAGTCCACAGGTTTGCGAATGAGTTCGTAATATTCTGGCAGCTCTTTACGTGAAGGCAGTTGAACGAACACCTCACTCAGTTGTCTTCCATTGCTGTTAAAAATACAATGACAAAAAAAAGCATGACTCATGAAAAAAGCATGTTTATCGAATATATAATAAATAAAGCATAAAATCTCACTATAAGACTGTCAATCCATAAATCAATAATACACACATTTCACCATTTTGAACAGAAAAAGTGTGGAAAAACACTTTTCTGCAAATCAAACAGTACAGAATGCTATTTGCAACACCGAATTCATGGGTTTGACTCCCAGCAAAGTTAAAGGCACAATATGTAAGATTTTTTTATTAAAATATCCAAAAACCACTAGAACAGTGTTATATATTTTGCTGACTTGTGAACTTACTAGGCCTGGGCGATAAAACGGTATCGATATTTATCGACGGTACACCTTCTTCGGTAACGATATAAACATTTTCGATATAGTGCACGATATAGGCACGTGCTATGAGTGACGCAGACAGCACACACAAACACCAACACATGCTGAATTGAGTGCTGTGCCTGCCTGTGATGAGGAGATTGTGAATAAAAAAATAATAATAATAGTCAAATTTAAAATATTTGAAAACATTTGCATTTGAATGTTAGGAGTGGGTCAGGGAGCGTCATCAGTGGTGATAATGATGTAAGTGACGTTGTTCCACTTTAATGTTTTGTTAGTCTAGCCCACGAGATGTGCCGCTGCTGTGTTATGCATTCAATATATTAGAGAAATATAGAAGCTCAAAGCGGAGAAGATCTTGATTAGGTGAAAACCGAAACCAAGCCATTCACACAAGAGATGTAGCCATGCAAAGCTAAAACGGTTTAAACTTTTAGAAAACACGTCACAAATTTGTGGAGGTTTATTCCTTTTCACTTCCTCTTATGTTTTTAAATGCAATCTGCGTGATGGGCGATTCGGCTCTTTGTATTAAGCAATATATAAATACATGATACGGTTTTGTTCATAACTGTTTATGCAATTTACGAAATTATATTTGATTTATATGAGTTAATTTAGACGTAATGCACGTTTT